ATTTTTCAATTATAGTGAAGCATAGAAACCTTACCCCCCTTTATGTCTGTTTACCTTCCCCTATCTATAATTGTCTTAAATATTTCTTCCACGTACATTTAGAATAACATGAGACAGTGTCATAATTTTAGCATCAACCATCAAACACAATTTAGAAAGCTCAAGAGGAGAAAGGAAGTCTACTGTATTTAGCCATAGTCTTTGTTTATTGTCTTCTTTCTTCCTTCCCAGTGTTCCAAGAGTCCTTTTCCCAATTGTTCCTTTCTGTTTAGAGAACTTCCTTTAGCCATCCTTTTAGGGTAGGACTGTGAGTGACAGATTCTCTTAGCTTTCCTTTATCTGAGAATGTCTTGATTTCCCCTTCATTCCTGAAGAATAATTTCACTGAGTATAGAATTCTGGAAGGACAGTTCTTTTCTTTCAGCACTTGAAAACCATTGTGCCCTTCTTTCTGGCCTCTCTGCTTTCTGACAAGAAAGCCACGTCATTCAAGTTGTTCTCCCCTGTAGTCAACATATTGTTTCTCTCTCACTGTTCTCTAGATTTTTTCTTTTTCTTTAGTTTTCAAAAGTTTGACTATTATGTGTTTTGGTGTGGGTTTCTTTGGGTTTCCTTGGTTTGGGGTTCCCTCAGTTTCCAGGACTTCGATGACATGAAGGTTAGATCTTTTGTTATAGTCCCATAAGTCCCTGAGGCTCTATCCATTTTTTTCCCTGTCTATTGTCTCTCTGTTGTACAGATTGAGTAAGTTGCATTGTTCCATCTTCAAGATCACTGATTCTTTCCACTGTCCTCTCCATTCAGCTGTTGAGCCATCCATTGAGATTTTGTGTGTGTGTGTGTGTGAGGAAGATTGGCCCTGAGCTAACATCCGTGCCAATCTTCCTCCATTTTACATGGAATGCCACCACAGTGTGGCTTGATGAACAGTGCTGGGTCCACACCCAGGATCCAAAACTGCAAATCCCGGGCTGCAGAAGCAGACCATGCAAACATAACCATTATGCACCAGGCAAGCCCCCATCCACTGAGTTTTTTTTAAGTTACTGTATTTTTCAGTTCTAAAAATTTCCATTATTTCTCTTTATATGTTTTGTTTCTTTACTGAGACTATTTCTCTGCTAAGACTTTCATTGTTTCAAGTGTGCCCATTGAAGCTTTTTTTTTTTTTTTGAGGGCCACTTTAAAATCCTTGTCAGATAATTTTAACACCTCTGTCCTCTCAATGTTGGTATCAATTGTCCTTTTTTCTTTCAAGTCTAAGTGTTCTGGTTCTTGGTATGACAAGTGATTTATTATTGAAACGTGGACATTTTGGGTTTTATGTTATGAGAGCCTGGATCTTATTTAAACTTCCTGTTTTAGCTGGCTTTCTCTGATGCTGCTCCAGTAGGGGTAGTACAGGGAGGGCAGGAGCTGCCTTATTATCACCAGCTAGGGGTAGTAGTTTGAGTTCCCAACTCAGTTGCTGTTGACACCAGGGGTGGGGGCCTCTTTATTATTTCTGGGTGGGAATAGGAATTCTGGCTCCCACTAGGCCTCTACTGATGCCATCCTGGTTAGGAGGGATACGAGTGTCTCATTGCTCTTCCCCATATGGCCTCCAGTGACACCACAGAGACACCACTAAAGCTTCTTTGCTGCTGGGCAGTGTTGAAAAGTCCTGACTCTCCACTGATACCACCTCAGTGGGGAGGGGATTGGGGTACCTTGTTACAGCCTAGTGAGATTAGAAATCTAGGCTTCTCACTCAGCCTTGGCTGGTGGGGGTGGGGATAGGGCCATAGATTTTGCTTCCATGTTCGACTAGAACAGTGCAGTTATTGTCCAAAAGTTTTGTCTCGCTAAGCTGCCCCTTTCTTGATCCTTTGGCTAAAGAGAGCAGGTTTTTCTTGGGACTTTTTCTGTCTGCAACCATTGCATTCTTAGGTTTCCAGCTTCGTTAGCTCCAAGTCTGGGACATATGAGGCAAAAAGAAAACCTGAGGACTCATCACTGTGTGCATCCTTGGATTCTGAAGTCCCTAGCCAGTCTGTCTTCTTCTCTCCACCTTTTGGAATCTTCTCATCTTTGTCTTATATATAATGTCCAGGGTTTGCACTTTGTTGTAGTTAGCAGGCAGAACAGAGAAAAGTACATCTATTTCATCTTCCCTGAAGTGGAAGTAGGTATAAGTCTTATGATGTAACATATTCTAGTGAGCTAAACATTATTTGTTTATAAGAGACCTTGGAACATGAATTTCCTCTTACCCAGGTCATGTCAAGCCATTTTTCTTTTGAGCTGTATGGCCAAAAACAACTCTACATGAAAGAGTAAGGATGGGCTGACTCCTTAATTCTCAGTTAACATCTGGAAGGTAGTCTCTGAGCTCCAGTCTCATGTAATTAGGATATATTTTGTGATGGATAATACTGAACTCCTCAGTAAAACAAACATAGGACCTTATAACATTTCTACCCTTCCTGCCATAGTGTATGCATTCTGTTTAGGCCAGTGGTTCTCAGATGGTGGAGGGTAGTGGGTGGAGTGATTTGGCCCTTCTCCCCAGGGTCTCATTTGGAAACATCTAGAGATATTTCGATTGTCATGACTTAGGATCGGGGGGAGGTGAGAAAATCATGCTACTGACATCTAGTGGGTAGAGGCCAAGGATAATTCTAAACATCCTACGATTCACAGGACAGCTACCCACAACAAAGAATTAGCCAACCCAAAGTGTCAACAGTGCCAAGGCTGGGAAACCCTGGTTTCAATGGTTGACCTACATCTGATAGCTAAGTTTAATCTTCAGATATTCTGTGCACCCATTGGCCTGTGTAATGGAACTCTGAACGGCGGGTCTGGAATGGCCTTGTCCAAGCTCTAAACAGAGGCAACACTCCCTGACGAGACTGTCTTATCCTTTGCCTTTCCCTGTAGGGACTGCTGTGTGGCTCCAGGTTAAGATGTCTAAAGTGAAGTATTTCTTGCTCATCCTGGAGAGAATGTTGTTTATATAAAAGGTTTAAAACAAACATCCTTATTCCATTCTTAAGAATTTTTAAAATCATAATTTAGACACCACTTTTACATTTGCATTTTATTGTGCTCTCTCACCTATCCAGCCACCTATCTCACCTATCCAGCTATTTAAACAAATTCTCCATTGTTCCCTAATAAAACTTCTGAAACCACTTTTCTTCAAAATAATGCAAAGCTCTGTCTTCTGGAATTGTTGGAGCAGGGGGAGGCAAAATTTAAAGAGCAAGAACAAAATCTAGGCTGCACTAAACATCAATATCACGTAAGGCAGGGATGGGACTGAAGCATTTGGTACCTGCCAAGTCTTATAACACAGGGCTAGGCCCCCTGGCTCCTGACTCAGATGCTCCAGGCCGCTCTCCTACATAAAACAATTCAGGTCACCAAAAAAGGATACACAAGAGAAATGGAATGCCAGAAAGAATAGAATTCACTGTCCCAGTGTTCGTTCGTCATTTGATACGCTCCCTTCTTATATCCTACTCTATTTGAACTCCTCATAATGTACTCTCCCTTCTGGGCCTTTGCTCTGAAAATGTGACTTCCCCCAAATGTACGGGACCTCAGAGTTGGTTTCTAATGCAGTTGCCTCTTCATGTCAAGTACCTGACTATGTCATCGAGTTCCTTCTCACAGGGGCAGACACCGAGGCCTTTGTTCTGTTAAGGCTCTCCAATGCGCGTCCTGATTCCTTTTTGTATTAGACCCAGAGACCTAATTAGAAATACCCATTTTGAAACGGCCCGAGCAGTCACACTGATCTTGTTCAGTAACTGTGGGGAGGTGTGGGTCTTAACTGAAAACATCTGTCCTACTCCACTGACAAACGTTAGGTCAAAGGCGACACTGGGGACTCTTGTCCTTACATGTTTTTGTTTCTGTAATGGGTTTTATGATCACATTCCTTAAATCACAGCCAAGAGTGTATTCTGGGGTTGAAACTATTTTAAAGACATAATGTGGCAGCAGTATTCTGTGTAGTAACAAGAGGTTTGGCGCTGCAGCCAAGAACAGTAACAGAATCTTTTTCCCCCTGTCATTCTCATTGCCATTCTCAAAAAAGACTATGTCACTTTTTTTCTCTTTCTCTCTCTCTCTCTTTCTGTACAGGACTCAGATTCCCTTCTTATTATTTTTGCTTTGAATGTCCCCGCCAGAGCAAAGTCTATATAATGGACAAAATATCTTAAACTATGATCCTATGCAGTTTTGCTTGCTGCCAGGGACATATCACAATCAACAGAGGGACGGTCCTGGCAAGGGTCCAGTCATCTCTGGGGTGTGAACGCCTGGGGGGAATCCCAGATCTGCCCTGCCTTCATTGTGGGACACTGAGCCAACCCCTTAACCTCAGTGAAGCTAGAGAGCCTCCTATGTCAAATGGGGCTCTTACAGGTATCCACCTGATGGGATTGTCCTTGGGACAAAAATGCACATAAACTGTGTCCATGGCTCTTGGTACATAAGCATCACTTATAATCTCTATAATTGGGAATGTCTAGGAAGTAAATTTTTTAAAAATATTTTAAGAGAATGGTTTTCACTGAAAATAGAACTCTTTCAACTTCTTGATAGTAACACATTGATCTTCTTCTTAAGATATAAATTTACTGTTAATAATGCTAAGCTGTAACAGAAAAAAACAGTTTTTCATATGAAACATCTGTTATTTCGATACTAAATAATCACAAAGACTTTGAAAGGAAAGGTTACCAGTGATGTATTACTCAGGTCTGCAACTAATGTTCTTTGAACGAGTTTTTGAAATAACTTCTTGATTTCTTTCACTTTGAAAAGAGGATACAGCCCCTCGATGGAATACTCAGTAATTCAAATTCAAAAGTCAAAGGACTCGAATAACGCCCCAGTGTTTTGTCTAGCTCATCACACACCAGAGGCACGGAAATGTCTTACGCTACGTCTCCTAAAGGTGCATTTACCCAGGAGCAGTATTACTCTCCTTCTGGTTCACCTACTTCCGTCTTAAGGTCGTAGTTGGGCCCGAGGACGCTCTGGATGAGCTCTCTGACGGTCTGGTCGGAGGCCAGCTGGGCCTCGGACTCCAGGGAGGCGATGACCTCCTCGATGGTGGTGGGCATGGCCCGCGAGGGCCACGGGGTCCGCAGGCCGGCCTCCCGCGCCGCGCCGGACAGCGCCCTCTCGCGGAAGCCCTCGCGGACCGTTCTGCAGGTCGAGGCGGCCGAGCCCTCGCGCAGGAAGCGCCTGCGAATCCACATTCTCTGCGGCCAGCCCGCCGCCTCCACGCCGCTCTCCTCGCTGGCAATCGAGCTGCCCAGCCGCCCGGCCTCTGCGGGCGGGGCCGCCTCCTGAGTCGCGCGGTGGCCGCGGGCCGAGTCGAAAGCCGGCTTGGAGCCCGCGGGCAGGGGGCTCCGCGGGCCCGGGCGCGCCCTGGACGTGACCCTGTCCGCATGCGCCGGCGGCGGCGGCCTCAGGACCACCGGCCTGGACGTGCCGGCCCCGGAGGCGATGGCCGGCGGCCTGTGGGGGGGACGCGGCCGCAGGAACGCTGAGCTCCGCAGGTAGAAGGCCTGGGGCCGAAAGGGCCGCGTCCTCCCGGGAGCCGCCGCCTGGCTCGGGCTCGGGGGGCGCGCCCGCTGCAGGGGGGCCGTAGCGCCTTTAGCCCGAGGGGACCCCGATGGCTTTTGGGGTCCAGCCTGAGCAGCGCCGCCCTGCGCCCCAGGCCGGGCCGGGTCGGGCGCCTGGAGGCCGCAGACGGGGCCTCCATCCACGGCCGCCTTGGAGACCAAATTCTGCTTGAATCGGAGGAAATCCTTTCTAGTCTCCTGGCGAACCTTCTCAAGCTCTTTAAAGATGTACGATTCTTCTTTGTATTTCAGTCCAAAGTGCTTCGAAATCGTGGACATCTCGACTAATTTGTCCTGTGAAATAACAGCAATATATTAATATGTATATATTTAAAATAAAACTGTTAATAAATAAAATTCCAGCTCCAAAAAAGCTTCTCAGGGTAGAATGCTCCCCGTGCTTCCTGAGGGAGGAGTGGGAGGATTAGTTTATAGTAAGCATTTTAAATCCAACCATTGGCCTTTTCTGCCAGCCCTGGTGGTCAGCGGTTAAGAGCCAGCGCTCTCACCAGGGTGCCTCGGGCTCATTTCCTGGTCAGGGACCCACACCACCTGTCTGTCAGTTGTCACACTGTGGCAAGGCTGCATGTTACTGTGATGCTGAAAGCTATGCGACGGCATTTCAAATACTAGCAGGGTCACCCGCGGTGGGCAGTTTTCAGCAGAGCTTCTAGGCTAAGACAGACTAGGAAGAAGGACCTGTCCACCCTCTTCTGAAACAATTGGCCGTGAAAACCCTATGAATAGCATTCACTGATAGAGCACCAGAAGGTGAGAGGATGGTGGAAAAGACCAGTTCCACTCTGCCGTCCACAGGGTCCTAGGAGTTGAAATCCACTGATGGCACTAACAACAACTGGCCGTTTCACAGGAACCTTGGAAACCCTTTAAAGCAGTTTACAGTAGGAACTTCCAAAACTCCTACTGGCTTTATTTTAACGTTTCTTTAGACTATAATGTAGTGTCCCACTTCCAGGCAAGAGAGACCACAGAACGCACAGGCATAGAAAATCTAAAGTCACCCTGTTATGAGAGAATAGAGGTCATCAGCTGTGACCTGGATCCAGCCCACAAAGATATCTTTCAATTGCTTCGTTTTTCAAAAGTATTAATTCATACCCAACAATTTTAAATTGAGATATTTTCACATAAAAATCCAAATTTAAAGTTTCTCTGGAAAAAAATAAGTGAGGGCTCTGACAATGCAAGGGCCGAATCCCTGCTCTTATAGGAGGGTAGCAGTTTCCCCTTCCGCCTCCAGCTGGTCCTGGGCTCTCCATCCCTCACCCAGCCCACTTCCCTCAACGTGTCACCTGAGCTAGAGCAGAATGTATGAAGGGAGAGAGGTGATCAGCCACAGGGTGGGCCGCAGCGAGACCATGAGGCCTTGAATGCCGTGTTTGTACTTTTTCTGTGGGCTACTGGAAAGCACTTAAAAACTTTTAACAGAAAAGTGAATTGATAAGATCTGGTGTTTGGAGGAGATTAATACTGAGTGGGAGAAAGAATAAAGGGGTGTGGGGGCAAATAAGAGTCTCTGCCCTTGGTAACAAAGCAGAGTGAAAATATAGACAGAACAAGGTAAAAGTGATAGGATCTGGCCAATGATTAGGAATAAATGGGAGCAATTAATGCCCCCTCATAAAATAGGAACTTTGAATCACCCTGATGAAGTCTTGGTCATAACCAAGTCCATCACAAAGCTATTCACTGAACTGTACAGTTAAAAATGGTTAAGATGGTACATTTTATGTGTATTATCACAATTTAAAAAAAAAACAAACTCCTGCCTTTCATCAGGGCCAGCTATGATCATAAGTGGATTCTGAGATCTTGAGAGCTCTAAGGTCACTACCAAAAGCCAGGCTAACAGGAGATATAAACAGAGAAGGGCCAATGACAGATCCTTTGGCTCCTCAAGTGTGGGAGGTGGGAGAAGCAAGAACAATCAGAGTGTTCGGGAAAAGAGAACAGAGTTCCAGAGAACCCAAGAAGAGGACAGTTTCAAGAAATAAGGGTAAAACAATGAAAATAAACCAGAAAATAATAAATTAGAACAACTAATTTATTTTTTAGAAAACCCAAGGCCAAGATTCTCTGAAAATAAAATGAAATAATAAAGCAGAAACATCTCTGGAATATCATCATTATTTGCAAATATGATTATCTACCCAGAAAACATAAGCACTAAAGAACTATTTAGAATTATAATAGTGTTCTACAAGGCATTTAAGTTAAAAAAAATGTATACAAAAAAGTAACTTCCTTTACACAAACATGATCCATTGAAAAGCATAATGGTAAAATTCCAGTTATAATTTATTTAAAAGAGTATCTAGGAATGAACATAACAAGAAATGTGCTGAAACCACAAGAATAAAATTTATTAATTTTACTGAAGGAGATAAAAAGAAGACTCAACTAAATAGAGAGACAGTTAATGTTTTTTGGTGAGAAAACCAAATATTTTAATTATATCAGGTCTTCCCAAAATATTGCACTGGTTTAATGTCATTATAATCAAAATCTAAAAATGATATTTTGGACTTTGAAAAATAATTCTGAATTCATTTGAAATAACAAACAAGGTGGTTTAGCCAAAATTTTGAAAAAGGGAAACAAAGAAGCATTTGTCCTGTGAGATAATTAAAACTTACACAGATATAAGAACTAAAACTGAACACTGCTGCTAGAATCACTGGGTAGACTGAGTGAGCGAAAGAATTAAGAATAATATGGGTTATATTACAAAGACAACATTAAATTGATGATAAAAGAATTATTCAATAAGTTGTGCTGAGGCAATTGGTGGACTATTTGGGGGGAAATCACACCTCATTTTATGCCATGCACCAAAATATGATGGATTTAAGACAAATGTGGAAAATATTTTCTTATTTTACTTTGCATTTCTTTGCTTATCACCTATTCACATTTCTTTATTGTGTTGAATTTCTTTATATCAACTCATAAAAGAGTTATTTTAACAATCACATTTCTTCATCTATCATGTAATATGAGCAATAAGAAGAAAATATCCTTTTTAGCCTGTAAATATACATAGTCACATTGCTTTTAATCTCTAAAATATCCACTGCTGGTTCTCAAACCCAAGAGCCTGCTACCTGGCAACTCTCACCTGAGAACCGATAGGCTTTCTTTCTCTCCCCAGCTCTACCAATGACTAGACCTCGGACAATTCAATTCTATCCATAACAAGATTTCATATTAAAAAGTGAAAATAATAATCCATTGCCTCTTTTCCAGGCCAGAGTATATGAACATTAGAAATGATTTCTAAAGCCCTTAAGGAAGTTTTCCTGTTTAAAAAATGCTGTCTAATCCTCCTCCTAGTGTTGTGGCCGTTATTGTTTGCACAGGTGGTAATATGTTCTTACTGACACCGTCTGCAAGTCTTCCTACAGAAGGCTGAAAGGTAGTGACTGGGACAGAGCCCGGACCAGAAACACACTGATACCTGAGGAGAACCTGACTTGATTCTCCCAACTGCCTTCCCTTTGTTGCTTAGTTCCCGCTTGGTGTTCCCTTCCCAACTTCCCCCAGACCCTTGCTTTGCTATTGCAGTTTAACAAGCGTTCGTTGTTTAACGTTTCTCAGTACATTCCTCTGAGTTCTTCACAGGAAAGTTGTTCCTTACATGTAAAAATAAACCAAAAGAAAATAGAACTTCTAAATTTCACGGGAACTTCTATTGTGTTTTTCAAAGTAGGTGGTATCCCAATGCTAAATGGGCCAGTCCATCAAAGCTTGATGCCTTTATAGCCCCCACCCACCCCTCAACGCTACAAAATATGTAAAATGATTTTTAAATATCCAGTCTCATGGGAAAATAATATGTTCTCTTTTTCTTAGTAGCAATTTATTAAAAGAAAGAGACTAGTTCTGGCTTGGAGATACCCAAGGGAAAACAATGTAGCTGTCCTGAAAGGGGAAAGTATTAATCTACATAAGAGGTCAAGCCTGCTGCTCACAAGCTAGGTTGATTAGCTTTACCCTACACTTTAAAATAGGACAGAAGGTGCTTGAAATCTTTGCAACCCAAGCAGTAATTTCACTCTTCTCTTCTTTCCCAGTTATTGGAACTCTGCCTCTTCCTTCCTCCTCTACCAAGAGGCTCAGTGCCTGAGCAGTGAGGTAGTCCCAAAAGCCAAGAGCCAGCCTTCTCTCCTCTCCCACAAGGTCTGGGCAGACATAAGGAGGAAGCTTTGCCAAAAACGGTTAAAGCCCCAGGAGGGTTGCTTGTGTGAATTCTCTAGACTCTGGGATAGGTTGCTCTCTGCTTCATGCAGTTTTGGCTGCTCCCCCTATTGGAACAGAAGATCAGAAACTCTGCTCTAGATTCTAACTAAAGTAGAAATAAATAGAGCAGACCACCAGATGACTTAGTTCCAAGCTACATGAACACCTCACAGAGGGAAAGGAGTTCTTCATGTCAGGCCTAGCCCATCAGAGTATTACACTGGGAATGGACCCAAAGCCACAGCTGGTTCTATGGATTACCTGGCCTTGACCTCCTCCTGTATATTGTCCCCTCAGTGGGAAGGGTGACCCATTGAGGACAAAATTTGCGTTCTCTTGGGTCCATCGCCAAATATCACCTCAATCCACTTCCTAAATTTCACACCACATCAACTTCCAATACACAACACTAAAGTTCCAAAAGAAACACCAAAGCCCAAGGATAGTCCATCTCATCACATAAAATCTTTAGCACTGCAAGGAAAGTGAAAATATTCTGGAAAGCAATATTTGCTTTTGAAATATCAGCAGTAGAAAGGAGATCTGTTGTGCACTGATTATAATTTATGAGAAAGTCTGAAAGGAAATATACAAACATTTTAACAATTTTGCTAAGAAAATGGAAGAATAGTAATTTTTTCTATTTTTCCACACTTTCTATAATACTTGTTTTTGCTGCCTTTAATCCTAGTAATATCAATAATAGTAACTAACATTTATATTGTGCTGGTTAAAAATGATATAGAAAATAGAGAAAAGCTATTTTCAAGCTCAGAAAAGACTTTTTTCTAAACTATTCAGAAGCCCATAGAAATTTCAATGACTGCAAAAACTTAACTTATTCAACTCTTTATAACCAGTACCTAGAGTATGCACATATCTCTTGTGAATATACCTACACACATACAAAAATACATACATACTTGCAAACATAATGGGTAGTGGAACAAGAAAACATTTTCCCTGCCTTTTTCTTTTTCCCATGTTCTATTTTTCCTTCTTGGACTTTCTTCATCTAAGTGCTTAAACAGCCAAAATAGGAAAATGAAAGAATTTTTTTAAATTATTAACATCATGCTTTTGAGATGTTAAATGTTGCATGCTCTCAATTTCAAAAGCAATTTGTTGTATTCCACATCTTACAGATTAATCCCCCACTAATAACAATTTATAAACTCTAGATAAAACATAAAAAACAACTACCTGAGGATTCTTAGAAATAAACAAAAGCAGGCAGATTGTGAAAGAAAGTCAAAATTTATGGAAACCCTATCCTGGAGGTGAGTTTCCAGGCTTATTGTGGCTTTTCCCTAAATGCCATCCATACTGCAGAACGGCATAGTGCAAGTAGCAAAAACTTTAATAGAAAGCCCTTCATCATTCCAGTCAGAGAAAAGAACGAAGGCAATTACCACCACTGAGGCGTGAGAGAGAAACCCCAGAGGCAAGGGAGCCAGAGAAAGTAATCCCCTAGTTCTGTGTCTAAACCCCCACACAAGTCTAGACTGACCTCTGAAGCATGAAGATGTGGAAGAAACTCAAGGCAACACAGCAAATGCTTAAAAGAGCTGAACAGAGATTTAGCTGAACTTAACCTCCAACCACAGACAGTGAGACAGAGCTTAAAGTGAGTCAAACCTGGTGAATTGCCTGCTGAATGAAAAAAATCAATATTCTTCAGAGGGATATAATAGAACCCAGAGTCTACACAGCAAATCATTCACAATGTCCAGGAAATAACCAAAATACACTTGGCATTAAAAGAGCTGGGAAATGTGACCCATTCTCAAGGGCAAAGACAATTAATAGGGGCCCGTCGAGAGATGACCTAGATGTTGAAATTATTAAACAAGGACTTTACGGCAGCTATTATAACTCTGCTCAATGAAGTAAAAGAAAATACGCTAAAGATGAATAAAAAATAGAAAATCTTAGCAGAGAAATAAAAAATAAACAGAAATTTTACATCTGAAAAAAACAGTATTTTAAATAAAAATTGACTAGCAGAATGGAGATATCAGAGAAAAGAGTCAGTGAACTGGAAGATAAATCAACAAAAATTACACAATATTTAAAAGATAGAGCAAAAATCTTTAAGAAATAAAAAGAAGCCTCAGAGTCCTGTGAGACAATATCAAAAGCTCTCACATATGGGTAATCGGAAGCACAAAAGGAGAGGGGAGAATGGAGTGGAAAAAATATTTGAACAAATGATATCTGAGAACATTCCAAATTTAGAGAAATACATAAATTTATAGGTTCAAAAAGCTCAGTACATTCCAAGCAGGATAAAGTCAAAGGAAATCCCATGTAAGCTGCTGGAAACCAAAGACAAAGATAAAATACTGAAAGCAGACAGAGAAAAACAACACATTATTTATAGTATAACAATTCAAACGACCACAGACTTCCCATCAAACACCACTGAGGCCAAAAGACAGTAAAACAAGATTTGTAATGTGCTAAAGGACAAAAGACTGTCAACACAGAATTCTATATCGAGCAAGCATATTCTTTAAGAAAAATGAAGGGAAAATGAAGACATATTCAGGGGCTGGCCCCGTGGCCGAGTGGTTAAGTTCGCGTGCTCCGCTGCAGGCGGCCCAGTGTTTCGTTGGTTCGAATCCTGGGCGCGGACATGGCACTGCTCATCAAACCATGATGAGGCAGCGTCCCACATGCCACAACTAGAAGGACCCACAATGAAGAATATACAACTATGTACCGGGGGGCTTTGGGGAGAAAAAGGAAAAAATAAAATCTTTAAAAAAGAAAAATGAAGACATATTCAGATACAAGAAAACTAAGAGAAGGACTAAAATCAATAAATGAATTTTCCACGTTGCAAATCTAGAAAAAGAGGAGTTAAGTATACCCAGAGTAAATAGAAAGAGGTAAGTATAAGGACATGAATTAATTCATAGAAAACAGACAAACAATTGAGAAAATTAACAAAGCCAAGAGCTGGTTCTTTAAAAAAAAAATCAACAAGTTTCTAAAAAGTCCTAGCTAGACTGTGAAGAATAAAAGAGAAAGAACAAAAATCACCTCTATCAAGAATAAAAAGAGGATTTTCACGAGAGATCCTAAAGATATTAAAGGATAATAAAAGAATATGATAAACAACTTTATGCCAACAAATCCAACAATTCAGACAAACTGGGAAACTCTCTGAAAATTTCAACTTACCAAAGTTAACAGAAGAAACAGAAAATCTGAATAGTTCTATATTAAATAAACTTATTTATTACCATAAATCTTACCACAAAGAAACTTCCAGGCCCAGATGGTTCTCTCAAACACTCAAGAAAGAAATAAGATCAGTCTTACAGATTGGTTTCAGACAATAGAGGAGGAAGGAACTCATTTTCTGAGACTCGCACACCCTAATACCAAACCTGAGAAAATCATTTTTTTAAAAGAGAAAATTTATGCATCAATATCTCTCATGAACATAGATGCAAAAATCTTTAATAAAATATTAGCACATCAAATCCAAAAATATATTTTTAAAAAGGATAATATATCCTGATCATATAGAGTTTATCCCAGGGTTGAAAAATTCATTTAGCATTTGAAAATTAATATAATTCACAATATAAACAGAATATAGTGGGGGGGAAAATGATCATTTCAATAGTGGACAATCATTTGACAAAATCTAATACCCATTCATGATAAAAATAAATAAATACATCTGGGCATACTATGACTCATGGAGAACATCCTCAATCTGATTAAGAGAACTTACAAAGAAACTTACAGGTAACATTATATTTTTGCTTTCCCCCAAAAGTGACAACTAGGCAAAAATGTCTCAGCTCTTACCACATCTATTCAACATTGTACTAGAGGTCCTGGCCATTGCAATATAGCAAGGAAAAGAAATAAGAGGGATAAAGATTGAAAAGGAAAAAGTAAAACTATCCCCATTTGCAGATGACATAAATTTTAGGTTAAAAATTCCAAGGAATCTGCAAAACAATTACTAGTGCTGAGTGAATTATCAAGGTTATACAACACAAGGTTAACATACAAAATCAAGTGTATTTTTATACACTAGCATCAAACAATTGGAAAATAATGCCCCCCCCAAAAGAACATAAAATATGTAGGAATTAATCCAACAAAAGATGTCCAAAATCTCCACACTGAAAATTACAAAATATTGCTAAGAGAAATGGAATACCACCATAAATTTATGAACCATTTTTGTAAACTCGATGACTCAATATTGTTAAAATGACAATTCTCCACAAATAGATCTATAGATTCTATACAATCCCAAACAAAATTCCAGCAAGCTTTTCTATAGAAATTACAAACTGATTCTAAAATGTATACACAAATTCGATTGACTTAAAGTAGCTAAAGTGACTTTTTTTTTTAGGAAGATTAGCCCTGAGCTAACATCTGTTGCCAATTCTCCTCTTTTTTGCTGAGGAAGACTGGCCCTGAGCTAACATCTGTGCCCATCTTCCTCTACTTTATATGTGGGATGCCTATCACAGCATGGCGTGCCAAGCGGTGCCATGTCCGCAGCACCTGGGATCCGAGCCAGCCAACCCCGGGCTGCCGAAGTGGAACTTGAGAACTTAACCGCTGCACCACTGCCGGCCCCTAAAGTGACTTTTTAAAAGAAAAAAAAAAAAAAAGCTAGAGGACTTACACTACCCTATTTCCAAACACACTCTAAAGCTACAGCAATGGAGACAAAGGTCCTGGCCAATCACAATGCTGAATAAAGGAAGCCAGACACAAAAGAGTATATATTGCATGCTTCCACTTACATAAAATTCTAGAAAATGCAACCTATTCTATAGTGTCACCCAACAGATCAGTAGTTGGTCCAGCGCCTGAGAAGCGGGTGGACAGCGAAGGGGGCAGAGGAATTCTCCTGATTGCAGTAACTCTTTTAAAGGTGTATACGTCTGTCAACACTCAAGTTGTACACCAGTACGTTATACAAACCGGACATTCTGTACAGTTCATTGAATAGAAATTACATCTCTCTAACGTTGTAAACAGGAAAAAACAATTCGTTACACTTTTATATTTGCATGTTAAAAATAAGAACTCTTGAACTTTAAACTCCTGCAGTGGTAGTCCCCAGTCCTTTCATTGCGGATCTGTGGCCTCCAAGGGCAAATACTCCTAGCCCTAAGCCTGCACGGTCCCACTGCCCCCCAAAGGGCTGTAGGGCCGCTCTCAAGAAACAGCGTCCGATTCTGAAATTAGACACACTGACGGTGCGGGGCGGGGGGGGACGGACACACGACGATGGTGAGTGGGGGAGGGGCACCTAGTGGTGTTTAAGGTTTGCCCCAAACAACCAGCTCCTGACAAGGGAGGGCAGAAAAGGTCAGCGAGTTGGAAATTAAATTCCCTCCACCGTGACCTTTCACCCTCCCCACAACCGCCTGATTCCTCGCCCTCTTTGGCCTTCCTAACGCCTTCTCCCTTCCCCACAGCCCGGTCGTCACAGTCTACCTGTCCTTCCCTTCCACCAGCTTTTCACTCCTCCCCGCTCCGCGTCACCCGGGCTCTCCAGCCGCAATCCCAAAGCAGCCCAGCCCCTACTCCAGCCCCAATCCCTTCTCCACCCCGAGCCCTACGTTGCCCCCTGACGTTCGCGGAGATCGGAGCGGGTTAGAGAGGTGGCACGAGGCGACCACTGCTCCGCCCCAATATCGCAGCCTCTCCTTCCCACGCCTCCCAGACGAAGTCACCGCGCCCCGGCAGCATCCTCCTCTCACCCTCCTCCGGGGACGGCCCTGCTCCCATTCAGGCGGCGGGAAGGTTGGCACCGCCGCCGCCCGGCAGAGTACCCAACCGGCCTTTCGGGGGCGGAGCGGCCGGGTGGGCTCGGACCCGGTGGGTGGGAAGGAAGAACGCGCTTCGTTGCCCAGCAACAAGCCGCGCCCGCCCCCTGCTCCCGCTCATCCCTCCGCGCAGTGGGCGCCCACCCCGCGCGTGCCCACCCCGCGCGTTTCCGCGCCGCGGAAGCAGCTCCGGGGCGGCCTCGGACTGGGGGTGCAAACCCAGGGCGAGCGGGCTCCGCTCTCTCGGCGGTGACGACGCTGGTCCCAAAGAGCCTCTTGCGCTGGAGACGCCTAGATCCGCCGCTTTTGCCCAACTTGACCAATTGCTTACTTGGCATTCTTGTTCTTTCTACATTTAAACGAATAATGCTGGACCAAGAGATTTAAAGCCTTTTTTTTGGAGGAGGAGTATGTTTTTAAACTATATGTCTGCACTACATGCCAATTAAAGGTACATTTCATAAAGAGAATCTTGAAATCAAAGGCATGAGATTCACTTCTGGAGAGTTTCTGTTAGAATCCCGGATTCGGCCGTATTCAGAGTTTTTGACGTCTGAGGTAAGAAAGGTTATAAAAAGCAATAATTGGCAATATCTATTCAAGTTGAATATACACACTCTATGCCCCAGTGATTGCACCCCCAATAGAAATGCATATACACATGCACTGAGAAACATGTACCCCAATATTGATAGTTTCATAATAGCTAAAAAGTGGTAACAATCCAAATGTCCATGAAAAGTAGGATGCATAAATTAATTGTGGTATATTGATAAAATGCAATATTATACATGAAGGAAATGAGGAAACTTCATCTGTGGAGAACATAGACGAATCTCTCACAATTGTAATGTTGAGCTGAGAAACCAGACACAAAGGAGTACATGCTGTACTTTAAAACCCAAGCCAGCAAAAACTATAGTGCTTATGAGCGCATGCTCAGCTGAAGTACTACAAAGAAACACAAGAGAGTAATCACCGTAAGAAATGGATGGTAGTCCTCTTGGGAGGGGAAGGTGATGGTGAGTGGGTGACCACTACAGAGTCTTAGGGTGCTAGCACTGATCCATTTTTTAACCTTGGTGATGGCTGCTTGAGTTTTTCCTTTGTGATAAGCCATTGTTTTCTGTTTTGTTCATTTTCCTGTGTTATCTTTCACCATTGTTTAAAAGGGCAAAAAAGAAAACCAATTAGACAAAATCGTGTAGATGGCAATGCTTTGCTCAGTGCCCAGTACTTAGCAGGACCTCAAACATCTAGTTTATATGCCTCTACTCTCCACCAACCTCTCTCTCTCCGAATAGTCAGGCAACTAATCAGTGAGATCAGGTAAGTGGCAGATAAAACCTTCTAGAACTCCTCCATGAGACTTCAGATGCTGGAAGGGGCAACATGCATCCCAGAAGCTCAAGACGAAAGGATGCTCCTGTGCTGGGCCTCCAAGCAGCCCACCCGTGGAGGTGGAGGCACTCAGGCACCCTCAGGCATCTGTGAGGAAAGCCCCCATTGTAGAGGCACACAGCCAGGTAGGGACATCTAAAGTTGCCACTTGGGCAAGTGGCTTCCCTCTCTGTGTTTCTGCAACCTCACCTGTAAAGTGGAGATACAACTCTTACCTCGAAGGTTTGTTGCTTTGCTCCATAACATAATGAATTCAAAGATGGTTGCTGAATGCGCACAAGATGAGAAAGACCTGCCTTCTCTGAGGTTTCATTGCACCCACATCACATCCCACTGCCCAGGGGGTGCTCCATGAGGGGGCTTCACTGTAAGCATGGGAGTAACCTGCTCAGACAATAAGTAAATTACTTTTCTTTGCTAATTAAAATAAGCAAATAATCAAACTGCATAGGAAGTGACTAATTATTCTTGGTACCATCCTAGACACTGCACAAAGGTAACATATAGACCATGTTCCCGAAATGGAAAAATTTAAAAATTAATGTACCCTTGAAATATGTCTATAATATGGTAAGGAAACAGTTTAAATGATAAATAAATATTGTTCCCTAATACTTTTTATAATCAAAAACAGTAGCTAAGTATTCAGATATCCTTATCATAGTGTAATACAATCCATGAGCTAGATACTGTTAACTTCATTTTATAGATAAGGTACTGATGGTCAAAGAGATTAAGGATTTACTTTGGGTCTCCAAGGTGGAAATTAATACCGTGTTAGGAACTCTATTCTAGGCCTACTGGAAAGGAAGGAAGGAAAGAAGGGAGGGAGGGAGGGAAGAAGGGAGAGAGAGAGAAAGCAAGAGAGAGAGAAAGGAAGGAAGGAAGAGGGAAAGAAAGAAATAGGGATGGAGGGAAGGGAAGGAAAGAAGAAAGGAAGAAGAAGGAAGAGGAGGAGGAATAGTAGTTATTGATCTAAAGGCATTTCAAATTCATTGTTAATATTGTAATGCCTTCATATGACAATGTTAACACTTTTGGTGCCATCTTGAAGAAAAGGGAATTAGACTCAAAGAGAAGCATAAAATTACTCCAGCAATAATTGAAACACTATCACTTCATCTAGTTTTTTCACTCTCCAACCACCACCTGCCAGTCCTCTTGTCTAGTTTTGGAGCCCCCTATTGGCTCACCTCACAGCAAGTAAAGGAAGACCCAAGGTAACTCTAGCTTCCATACCTCCAGAGCATCCTCACAGAACAAATTCCAACAAAATCCTCCGAAGACAATTCAAGGCCCCTCCCAATTAGGGCCTGCCCAAAGGTCTAACTATTTGGAAAATAAATAATTAAAGTTATAGCTTCACTTCACATTATGCACCAAAATAAATTCCAGCTGCATGAAAGATTTTGTTATACAAGAGTAGCAGGTATAGATAAGACTTGTAAACATTAAACCACAAAAGGCAAAAATTATAAATAAAAATATTGATGAATTTTTTTAAACCTATGCATTTAAAAATAAACAAAATTATAATGCAAATGGAAACCGGTGAAAAACTGACAATATTTATGGCAGAATAGCATCAATATTCTTTAGATGAAAAATAGATAAGCCCTCAAAATTTTAAATTGGCTAAAGAATGTGTGAACAGGCAGTTTCCAAAAGAAGAAATATTTATGGCCAATAGAAATATAAAAATATTCAACTTCAGTAGTAATCTCAGAAACGCAAATTAAAACAATGGTATACAATTGTTGCCAATTAAATTACAAGGTTGGCAATGAAATCCATGCATGGGATTGAGGGAATAGGGCCACTCATGGATTTCTGTTGCCGCTTTGCTAGATATTATGTAGCAAAATGTCCCAAAAGCCTTAAACACTTGCATGTTTTTTGACTTAGAAGTTCCACTTTTGCTAACTTTTCCTAATTATAGGGGTATGCAAAATTTAACAGTAATGATATCAAAGCATTGTTTTAATAGTTGGAAGGCAAGCATCTTGGCTCAAATTTAGTGTCTTCTGTGTTTAGCACCATGCCTGGCACATAGAGAGAGCTCACTGATGTACACACAAATGATGTCACTGGTGTAGTTATCAGTCAAGGCTGAGTTGTTGCCACAACACAGGTATGGAGAGAACTGTGCTCTCGACTTAATGTTCTAGAGATGAGGAAGCCAAAGATGGTCAGGCTTTGGGGAATGCACAGGAACATCTCCCAGGAGACCCTTGGTCACTGGACAAACTTCAGTGCCTGGTTATATTAACACAATTCACCACTAACAAAAGTCTCAGTCCTTGGCTTATAGCAAATGTCAGTTTACAGGAGGTCAGAAAAAACCTCGGATACTATCAATATTTGGTTTTAACCTCAATTACCTTAACAATGATATCAAATGCAAATAAGCAAATTAAAGTGGCAAACTCGGAGTTTGCTCCCGTGCTAGACCCAAAGGCAGCCTTCCTGCAGAAAGCTAGCAATGGCAGAAACCCTAGAGCCTTCACAGCTTCACTCCAGGGTGGTGACAGGAAGGAGTAGAGCCTTTCGGTGAATTATAGCTTGAAGATGACACTGGAAAGAATTGAAGACACCATATTTCACTTCCATGAGTCTTCATGCCTCTCCTCATCAGTCAGGTCCCCATGGGAAACAGATGACACCACTCAAAAGGGTCTAACTGGGGGACGGGGAGGAAACCAGAGAGAATTCAAGAACTATTTACATGGGTATGGGTGGGGTTAAAGAGAACTGACATTCAAGGTCTTGCAGCAGCAGGAAGGTGTTACCATCTTTGATCTGAAGGGGAAGAGGGAAAAAAGGAGGTATTCGCAGAGCCTATTGAGAGTTGAAGCTGGGAAGAGGGGCTGCCGGACAGGAGCTGCAGGCACAGACAGGCAGGAAAGGACAAAGCCCCAGTGAGGGGAGAAAGCAGGAGGAGTGAGTCCTCCTGCCCTCCACACCTGCACCATTGCCCCTACATTGGCCAAACCTAATTGGAAGCCGAAAAGCAAGGAAAACTGGGTGATGTGGCCCATAGAGATTGGCCTCTGGGGCAGAGAACAGGGCAGAGGAGGGAGCTCAGAAACATAACAGAATAACCAGCAGAGTCCACCACCAACGTTCCCTCTACTGCTTTAATCCACAGAAACAAATGTACTGAGACAGCTTCCCCTGTCTTAAGGTCCTCCCCTGGCATTGCTTAAAGCCAGCCTGCTCACCGGACTTCCCCCATGCTGATCTAACTAACACACGCCAGGCTTCCCTCCGGACCGTGAGGGAACGCTAATGTGATTCTAACATAGGAGCCTACGGAATTCAGGAATGGACCCCTGAGAAGCTAGTCACCACCCGTCCCGGGGGTGCCTCAGAAGTCTGGCGCCTGGCCTGGTCTCAGGGTTTTTAAGGTAAGATAAAAATAGCAAGCACTGAGCAGAAAAACTCTGTGAGTAAAACTATCCGTTTGAAAAGAAAAGATACAAATAACACTAATAATCCTATCCAAAGCAGGTGTATCTGGCTGAGAATTAAGGATTTATTTTTCTTGGGGGTAGTGGCTGGTGCTTAGCATTCCAGGTACTCTGCACAATTCCAAAGAGATTTGCTTAGGTGTTCTCCGAGTATGGTAATGCACTCGAGATTTTGCTGAGTTTGAGGTCGGAACCATTCCTTTTCTGAAGGTAAGCATGTACGACGGGTGGATGTGCTTTGTAGCCTAAACATTGAGCTTAAAGAACCAATGCCCGGTTTATGCTTAGAAAAACTAACAGCTCTCCCTCAGTAAGCTGTAAAAACAGAAGCTGCATTTAGCCAGAGATCCCTCCCTGCCTGAGACTTCTGTGTACCATCCCACTTCCCATGAATGTACCTCCCCCCCCCCACCCCCGTACCGATCCAAGGAAAATGAGCAAGTTTTGATGATGTGTTGTTTTCCTAT